CCCAGCTTCTGCTCTCAGCCACCAGTTCCCTCATGATCAGCAAAGCAGCCAGCTTGGGGTGGGGGTGCTGACCTGCAGGGCAGGCAGGTACTTGGGCAGCTCCTGTTTGAGCTCGATGGGCGACAGGGCTGGGGAGTCAGGCACGAGCTCTCCTTCAGTCAGGGCGGTGCTCTGCGGGGTTCCCTCACCGATGTCCTCCTCTCCTTCCTCACTTTCCCCGGAATCTCGGTCAAATCGTGACTCTGGAACTTTAAAATTTAAACTGATCATGGAACCAGGAATGAGCCATTGTCACAAACTCCATCCTGCTCTGGGGGCTGGGGACACCAAGTGAACCAAGAAGCTGCACAGCAGCGACCCCAGGGTGCCACATGCGAGCTGCTGCCTTGAGGTCTCCCAGCTGGGCCGTGACCACCATGAGGCACTGATGCAATGCTGAGCTTGGAGGAGGCACCCCTGGAACTCATCAGTCAGGCCCAAGGGCACAGCTCAGCTGCCTGCAGGCCACGTGGCCCCACGTGTGGCCCTGAGGTCAGAAGAGCTGTTCACCTGCTCCCACACGGCACTGTAGCCGAGCCAGGGCCGGTAGTGCCCTCCCTCTTCTGTCCACACCCCAGTAGCACTCAGGATGGCATTCAGTTAGCACTGACTCCTGAGGAATGCCTGTCTGGTCCCCATGGGCACAGTGTGGTGCTCAGTATGACGCCCAGGTCTCAGCCAGTCAGTCCAGTCCTGGGACAAGGCCAGGACAGGGGCTCCCTGTGGCTTCTGGGGCCTGACATGCCTTGGAGAGCAGTTTAACACCTTGCTGACCGGCTATTTCAAGCCAGAACTTGCCTGTGCTGCCAGCTGTTTTGCACTTGAATATTAAATGAAAGCACCTGAATAAACTTAAATGTTATTGTCTTATCTTATATTTCAATGTTTTATGTGTATTTTAAATATTTTCCTTCTAATACTCAGAGTGATACACTGCATAACGTATCTACACACAGTAATACTAAACAAGTTTTACATACACACTGGTTCTTGCTTTCCCTTAGAACATACTTTACGTGCCCTAGTGGGATTTTTTTCTGTGGTTGCTGTTTTTTGTAAAACCCGATCTTTTAATTTTCCCGATGATCTGTTTGGTGCATCTTTACTTTGAGCTCTTCTAGACATAATGGGGGAGATGCCAGGTTGTGTGCTGCATTCGGCTGAGTCTGTTGTAATCCACTTTCTAACAATTTCGAGTAGAAAATGTATCTCACTTTTTTAAAGTTTTTTTTTATTGCAATACACTCTCAAAAAGAAACCTAAGTTTTTATACCATTCATACTTTTGCACAAGATACTGATCTGCTCAATCGACTCCCTTCGTATCTGTTGTAATCCACTACACCCGCAGGTTTTGTGCTGGGGTGTGTGCTGGTAGAGGCCTCGTGCATGGTGGATGTTACACGCACTGGCCTTTCACCTCTCCAGGTGAGGAGAATGGGATCTTTCTGCAAAAACGCCATTTCTCCTCTCTGAAGGCCCTCTTAGTAGTTCCGGCAGCCCACGGCTCTCCCTCATTGCTCCAGACCAGTGTGTTGTTCTCCAATACAGCCCAGCTGCAGACACACCGCTGTAGTAATTATCCCGGTAAGTATAATGCCAAAACCAAGACAAGGCCTAAGACGGAAGACAGTCTGTTAACATTTTGCCGTCACCCATATATATCTCGAAGCTGCAAACACAGCCACTCTCATTGTCACAAAGCATCCTTACTAAGATTCTGTACTTATATTACTTTTGCCGGATTATACGTCTTGAATCTGATGTGTCCTCTCCGTGGAACCATTGCTTCATTGAGTAGTAAGCGCTGTTGCAGCACACGGATGGATTTAAATGGCAAGGTACAGTGATCCCAGAGAGGTCTGGCTGTAAAGACGTGTTACACGCTGTTCGTGATTATCGTTTGGATGAAAAAACGTGTTTGCGCAAACTTCTAGTCATAGTTTTTGGAAATATGGGTAATTCAGGTAAAGGATCAGTTGACCAGTAATCTGTCCATTCTGGATTCTTCGTTAGTCCCATCAATATAATTAAACCAAGAAACTTGCCCAGCGGGTGTGGCTCAGTGGTTGAGCATCGACCTAGGATCCAGGAGATGGTTTAATTCCCTGACTCCGGCTCCATCCCCAGTTGGGGGCGAGCAGGAGGGAGCAGATCAATGACTCTCATCGTTGATGTTTCTCTCCCTCCCTCTCTCTGAATCAATAAAGACATATTCAAAAAAATTTTTAAAAAACCATAAAGTTTCTTCACATCCGTGTAAGTAATGTCTGTCCATGGTGAACTTCTAACAGAGGTTCTGTGGTATTTCCCACTTGGTGATGGTACAAATCGGTCTGAGAAGTAATGAGATGGAAAAAATCCTTATCGAAAAATAAACTGGCTCCTTCACTTACACTCTGTGGGTCTTCAAACTGAACAGTTACTGAGATATCTGCATAATCCTCCAGGGCTGGTAAAAGGTCTTTTTCTGCCTCTTCTTCAGAATCCCTCTCCCTGTTGGACACGCTCACACTTCTCTTTTACCTGGTGACAGTCTGTCAGACTCATGGCTGTCCCCCGACAAAGTCCTATCTTCCAGCTGATGACCAAAGTCACCCAGCCCATCAGACCAAGCGTTTGCACGCATTCGCTCCAATGTCCTCCTCCGCTGCAACGCACCTTTTCAAAAACTTTTGCCATAAAAGATGACAGAAATAATTAGATATGCCTCCGTCACATCTCTGGAAATACTGACGCGCCACGGAGAAGGCAGGAATGATGAAGAGGAAAGCTGGGGACGGCCAAAGGAAGTGCCAAGCAGCAAAGCGGCACCTCTCGCACGCCTGACAACCTGACGCCTGGGAAAGCCGTCTAGGGCGCTCGCTAAGGCTCTGCACTGCTGTCAGACCTGAGGACTATGAAACTAACCCAGATGCAGAAATGAGTGCTCGAGACGGTCAGCAGGGTGTTAACAGGCTGCCACCGGCAGGGTCACAGCTTTGAAGCATCAGCCCTTGGGGACGGACGAGGCGAGAGGGACAGAACGGGGCCTCTTACCAACCAGGATGTGGTTCTCGGTCTCCTGCTCTTCATCTTCACTCATTTCTTCCTCACTCACTTCCTCTGCAAGACAGCAGGCGTCTGCCCAGATGCCACCCAGGCCTTGGGGCACACCACCCAGCATGCTCTGGGGTCTGCTCCTCCCAGGGGGTCTCGTGTGAGTCCCAAATAGCAAGGCATTTTCAATTTGGAAATTTTAAAAAATTAGACTTCTGCCCTGGACAGTCTTGCTCAGTGGCTAGAGTGTCAGCCCACAGACAGAAGGGTCCCGGGTTCGATTCTGGCCAAGGGCACATATCTCGGGTGCGGGCTTGATCCCCGGCCCCAGCTGCAGGAGGCAACCCATCAATGTTTCTGTCTCCCCCTTTCCCTTCCACTCTCTCTGGAAAAGCAACGGAAAAAGCATCCTTGGGTTAGGATTAAAGAGATAAATAAAATTAGACCTCTAAGTATTTCCCTGCAGTTCCTCACTCTCCCTAAACACCCGCTCGTGCGGCACGGCAGCACCTCGGGGGTTAGCGCGCGGCCCACCATGCTGTGGCCACAGGTCCGGCGCCTGCTTGGGGCACGTGCAGGAACCCACCAAAGTGGTTCGGCAGGGTGGCAACACAGGGAAGCATCTCCCCCTGTCAATCGTAAGGAAGGAAGCGGGTCACCCACCCCCACGGGCCGGCCCCTCACCTGCAGACTGCGCAGACGCGTCCTCGGAGTTGCTGCCGGTCTCCTCCTCCTCCTCTGACTCCTCACTGCTGCTCCCCTCCCCTTCCTCCTCCTCCTCCTCCTCTTCCTCCTCTTCCTCCTCCTCGGAGCCTGACCCCGACTCCGCTGCAGGAAGCATGGCAAGGAGTGAGCTCACAGGCCCTCCCCACGCAGCAGGGGCTGGGGGCTGGGGCCAGCTGGGCGAATGGGTACCTGAGGAGGACTCGGCGGAGCTGGTCTTCCGCTCGCTGTCACTGACGTCCTGCAGGTCGGACAGCAGGTCTCTCTCTTCCATCTTCTCTTCTTTCACTTAGGAAGCAAACCGCTGAAGGTGAATTCTGGGAAGTTCTGAACCATTTCCCAGCAGAGACCGGCACTGCGCTGGTCCAAGCAGGTGCGCCTGGCCTCACCTGGCTTTCGGCCGTCTCCCAGCTCGAACCTCTCTCGGGATGGCCGTGGCGGGCTGCGGCTCCAGTGGCTGGCCTTCACTTTGTCGCCATAATCCTCTCTCATTGCCCGGTGATGTGCAGAAACTGGCGCCCAGAACACAAAAGGAGATGGCACTGGCAGCGCCGTCTTCCCAACAGGACCCTACCTGGTCACGTCTCACCAGCACGCTTGCTGAGGGCGGCAGCCCACATCTACACAGGGCAGACACGACCACAGCACACAAACTTGCTAAGAGGGCCCAGGAAGAAGCCAGGAAGCTGATCCCGAGGACCCAGGTGGACCTTCCAGACCCATCTCTACTGGTTACAAAGAAGGGCCAGGAGCCACCTCTTCAAGCCTGTGCCCAACCACCTGTGGGCACAGGATACTGACACCGCTGTCAAGTGCCAGGCCTGGGATGGGACCTGGCCACACGGCCCCTCAGATGCAGCTCCGCCACATGCCAGCCACAACCTGCTGCTGTTGACAGGTCCCACCTTTGCCCCAAAGCCTTGGGGGCCTCCTAGAGCACCGCCCTCCGCAAAGGGAGTAGCTCAGGCTCCCTGCCCCAGCCCCTGTGGGCGCACCTTCCCTCCGGGCCTCTCGCTCCTTGCGCCGCTCCTCTGCGCGCCGCTCCCGCTCCTTCTGCTCCCGCTGCTCCTTCTGCTGCTCCCGCAGCTTGCGCTCTCGCTCCCGCTTCCGTTCCAGCTGCTCCAGGCGGTCCCTGCAACAAGCCCATGCCGACCTCTTCCTCAAAAAGAAAGGATGCTTTTCACCCCTGCCCCCATGCATTTTGCTCAGATTTGTAAAGTGTCTTTTTAGGTTGTTCACCCAGAGGGTGTCCTAAAAGCAGAACACAGGTGCAAACACATCCTGAGGGGCAAGTCCCCAAGCACAGCAGAAGGCAGAGCTGGTACAAGGAGACAATGCCTACAGGGAACCAACCTGCTGGTTCTGGAATGTTCCACGCTCCTGTTCACCAGTTCTAAGCCTCCTCAAGAATCTCCCAGGTGTGTGTCACAGCACCATCTAAACCCAGCTGCCTACGAGGTGCATCTCCAAGGCGACAGTGTGGCGGTGGGGCAGTGAGGAAAGCAGCTTCAAGGTGAGATGCCATTTGAGGACAGGAAACACTAGTGACCAAAGTATGTGTGGGAGGCTGCACCATAAGGCAGCCAAATAGTGAGGCCAGACCATAGATCATTTCTATAGCTCTATGAAGTCCAAATACAACCTAAAAAGCTGACACATTTTAAAAAAATCATTATCTCCTTTCAGTAGGAGGCAGCTATGAAGAGGCTCAGTGATCCTTTTCTCTGAAAGAATTCAGAGCCAAGATCCTTCAGGACGGGATGTGATAGACAGGCAGACGTGAGCAGAGCAAGGATGAGGGGCACCAGGTACAGGTCACCAGGATGGAAAGCACCAGGTACCTAGCAAAGGACAACTGCAGGGTGGGACCTAATCCCAAGGTGGCCTTTCCTCCCACCAGCATATCACTGCTCTGGCAGCTCGGACCCCTGACCTCTCCTCCCTGGAGATAACATCTAGGACTCAGTAGTATTTCATTCAGCTGCAGGCCCAGAAAAGCAACAAAACCAGCCACAGCTGACCTTAGGACCAGCTGCACTGGATAATGACCCCCTGCCCTGGCGCCGGCCAATTAATCCGTGGAGACCACAACCCTGAAAGGACACACCCGGGAAACTGCTGAATGTTCTATTGAGACCTTCCGCTGGGACCTCCCCTAAAATCTCCATCCTTAAAACCATCAGGACTAGGACCCAGTGAGTGGGCTCTTCAGGGCCTCTCCCCTCCCCCTCCAAGTGCTTTACCATCACCTTCCTCACCCCAAGCTCCAAGGATCCTCCCTTTGCCTCTATGACTTGTTTCCTGAGCCCATTTCTTCCCAAAATTACTTTTCCTACCTCTGTGATTTACCAAATAAATGTCCTCTTACAAAAAAAAAAAAAAAAAGAGAGAGAGAAAATCACTATCTACACCCACAGAAATGAGCACAAGCAAAACCTGGCGAGAAAACATCACAGCCATGGTGTTGTCACCAGTCCTGAAACAATGCTGGCCCACAGCAGCCATCACCACCTGAGCCGCGGGACAAAGGGCACCGGGATTCTGGATGCTAGTCTGTAAATGCCTGAGTCCAAACTAGCTCAAAATACAGCTGAGGAATAATTTACATAGGAAATTCAATCACTATATTTGATTTTTCATAAATTTATGCAATTGTGCAGCCATCACCCCAGCCAGGGCTAAAACCTTCCTGACACCAACCTGCCCCTGGTGACCACCTGCCTATGGTCAGGCCCCTTCCGCATGAATCTGCTTCCTGGTCTCCTCTGGATTATCTGGAGGTTTCTGCTGCTGCTTTGGGTTGTCAGCTTTGCTCTGTTCTAGTTTCTCGAGGTAGAAGCTGAGGTAACTGACCGGGCACCTTCCTTTTCTGGTGTTAGAGCTTAAAGCCAAACACTTCACTCGACGCACAGCATTAGCTGCATCCGTTAGCTTTTGACGTTTTTGTTTTCACTTCATTCAAAACAGTTTCTATTTTTTAAAATTTCTTCTTGGGCCACAGGTTATTCAGAAATGCTTGTTGGATTTCCAATCACTGGGGAGTTTCCTGTGTTTCTGTTGCCGATTTCCAGTGTAATTCTTGGTGAAAGAGTGCATCCTCTGTATGGTTGCAGTTCTTTTAAGCCGGAGGCTTGTTAAACAGCCTAGCACACGCCCTGTTAGAAAGCACCCCACGAGCTTTTGAAGAGAGTGCACACTGCAGGGGTGGGTGGGTCAGCACCGCAGACTGCTGGTTGACAGTACTTTCCAAATTCTCTGTAACCTTGATGAACTTCCCTCGTTCTACTGACAAGTAGAGACATTTCCAACGATAACCGGCTGCTGCCTTTTGCTTTATGCATCTTGGACTCTTGTGACACGTGCGCTGTGTTTACCACTGTCCTACCTCCTGGTGTACCCAGCTTTTCGTTACAAGGCCCTTACGTTCAGTGCTGGTCCTGACTGGTTTTGTCTGACATCAACCACTCAGGCTCTGTGGTCTCTGTTTGTATGGTGAATCTTTTTCCAACCCTTTAGGTTCAACCTACTTCTGCCTCTAAGGTGTTCCTGTTACATCAGCATATAGTTGGATCTTTCCTTTCTGACAACCTTGCCCTTGTCTGCAGTACAGAGACTACGTCACCGTTAATATAACTATGTATGTGGCTGGACTTCTGTTTTTTTTTTTTGCTTTATCTTCTCTACTTCTTTTGTTCTTCTGTTCCGCCCTGTTCTGGGTTTAAATAAATGCCTTTAGTATACCTTCCAACTCTGTTCTTACTCAGCCTTTGTTCTAGGGGCCATGGTCTGCATCTCATGAGATTAACACTAAGCCCACGCCCGTGACACAAAGCAGTTCAGGCACAGCCCCCTCCCATGCTCCTCTGTGCAGCCCACATGCTACGTGACAATAGTGTCTGTGGAGTTTTCTACAATCCCGTGTCTTCTGTAAAAGAGAAGACATGAGAAGGAACATACTTACAGGTTCCTTTATGTGAACTCACTTTTACCAGTCCCAACATTTGTCTTTTCTTCCCGTGGATTCGATACTACCTGGTGTCACTGCCATCCAGCTGAAGATCTATGTTCACCTGGACGTCTTTACTTCCTGCTCACTTCTGAAGAAGCGTTTTGCAGGGTACAGTTCCTGGCTGACAGTTTTCTCAGTGACCATGTGGTCCGTGCCTTCTGGCTCCAGCAAGGAGCAGTCAGATCAGGGACCGCAGCTCCTCTTCTGTGGAGACTGTCTCTCGCCTGCTGCTCTGAGGACCTCCTAGTTGGCTCTTGCCAGATGGACTGTGATGTGACTCTCTTTTTGTACTTGGGACTCACTGATCTCTTTGGAAATGTAGATGTTTCTCATCAAATTTGGGAAGTTTTCAGCCATTATGTTTAAAAACATCGTTGTGCCCCTCCCTTTTTCCCTCCTGGGACTGACGTCACTTGGATGCTGTCCTGCAGATCTCCGAGGATCTGTTTGTTTACTTCAGTCTTGTTTCTCTGTTCTCCAGAACATGCCGTCCCTGTCACTCCACCTGCACGGCACTATTTCCACTCTTTTCTGAAGCCAAGACTTGGCTAAATCCAACACTTGGTTTCTACTGATGCTTTCCTTCCTTAACAGGCCGCAATTTATTTCCTTATACCTCTCAAAACTTTGTTGGAAATTAGACAGTTTAGATAATGTTTTAGCAACTCTGGATTCTAATTTTTCCTCTCAGTTGTTGCCCTTTGTTTAATAATCTGCTGGGCTAAGTCTTTGAACTCTGTCTCCCTTGCAGATCATGGCCACTGCTATTTTTTCCATGTTCCTTTTATGTTCAAGCCTGGCTTCCAAGGGGTGTGCAGAGTTGTGTGATCAGTCTATACTGGACAGTTAGCACAGGGCGTGGCAAACACAATGTTTCACATGATCCCTGGGCACCTAGACCCTGTGAGGGCTGTGCTTATCTCACAGTGGCCTCAGACCTTCACCTCCCAGCCTCAGCTTCTCCCACACCCTCTGCCTCATAAGAACCAAGATTCTTCTCAAACACCTTCCCTAAATACCTGTGCCGTTCAGCCCCAGCTGCTAGGAAGGTAAGCACCACTTACCCATTCCCCCTTACTTACAACAGGCGACCGCCCCAGCTTTCTCTGGAAATGACAGTAACACACAGAGGAGGCCCTGGTCACCCGTGCCCATGCACTCCTCACTTGGGCCATGGAGGACAGATCTGGGGCTAACCAGATGCTCTCTCCTGGGAATCTGAGCACCAAGAGTCTGGTATCCCAGCTCCTAGACTGTTTTCCAGTCCTCTGGGATTCCGTGTTACTCTTCCTTTTCTGTGTTTGAAAGAACCAGTCTATTTCTGCTGTGACCCAGAGAACCTGACAATATACTCCCTCAGTCTCCCTGGCCTGGACCACCTACAACAGAGCTTGGTCCCAGGCAGGACCCAATCATGCCTCCTGAGTCAAGAAGGTACGAACCCCCACCCCACAGGTTTCCGTTCCCTTCACCGTCAGTTCACACCTTCCAAACTCAGTAAACACTCCCTCCGTTCAGGACAATTCTCTTGGTGACCACCACCCAACGTTTGCTGTGCTGTGACGATGTCCAGCACCATTTCTGCACCAAGTCTATTTCACATGCCCGGTTTTCACTAGTTTGATGGGACGCTGACCATCACCAGCCCCAAGAGCCCCTTACCCACCAAGCCCTCTACCTCTCTCTCCTGGAATGCTCTCGCGCCATCTCCCTCCTCTTCTGCCTCTCCCACTCCCTGCGTGCTTTGTCCTGCTCTTCTCGGTGGCGTTTCCGGCGCTCGTGCTCCCTCTCTTTCTCCTTCCCTCTGGCGTGCTTGCCTGATGAGAGAGGTGTCGTGGACATATAGTAACTTACAGACATGTAATGTGAAAACACCCAGCAAAGAAAAGACACTTAAATAACATCTCAGAGAAACAATCATGATTTTAGGTTTTAAAATAAAGACAAAGACAAAAAACTCTAGACAGTGAGCCTTCAATTAAGAAAACATCAAAAACAATGCGGCTATCACTAAACTATAGAATTGTAATTTTCAAAGTATTCTTAAATTTTCCTGTATTGAATAAACTGTGATTGGACTATATGTTATTTTTGCAATTTAAGAAATCATCATTGCCCTGGTCAGTGTAGCTAGCTCAGTGGTTAGAGCGTCGGCCTGCGGAATGATGGGTCCCGAGGTTAATTCCTGGTCAAGGGCATGTGCCTTGGTTGCAGGCTCAATCCCTGGCCCTGGTTGGGGTGCATGTGGGAGGCAACAAATGGATGTGTTTCTCTCGCACTGATGTTTCTCTTTCTCTGTCGTTCCCCCCCCTTCTCTCTGAAAAGCAATGGAAAAATTATCCTCAGCAGGGGATCAAAAAAAAAAAAGATAACAACATCACTGTTCATAAAGAACAGGGGACAACGCTGAGCTCCTTGTAGGGAGTTTCTGCCTCATGTTACAAAACCACATTAATCACCCTCACATGTAACAATGAGACTTAAATCGCACCCAGGTCCAGTTTTCCCAAATCCCTCTGCAGCTCTTGGTGCTGGTGTATAGCAAAGACAGTTTGGACTTTTTCAAGCATCTAATTTTCAGTTAAAGCAATTTAGCATTGAATAGTGTATTTTTTCCCTACACTTGTGAATGAAGACAGTTTTATATGTAAGCAAACTACCCCAAAACGTTATGAGGGGGGAAAAACAACCCAAGGGAAATGAAGTACCTGTTCAGAACCATTTACAATAAATTTATGGTTTATAATGAATTTACGCTTTTAGCTAAAATTTCACATTCTCTTCCTGGGCACTGTTTCCTGGGAAAGGCAAGAGGTAAGAACTATGGGACAGACCACACTGGAACACGGTAGCAAAAGGAAACAAATGCTCTGTACCCCCTTCTGCCGAATGACTACGATGCCTACGTTTCTCTTTCCTCTTTTCATCTTTCCTGTGATGAGCTTTTTCTTTCCGAGACATTTGCTGGGGTGGTTTGATAGCCAAAGAATCATCTTCCTCTCCTCTGAAATAAGACACAACAGGGCCACATCATGCTTGAGAAAGTAACGTAGAGCATCGGGTGTGATGGAGTTTCCCCAACACAGAAAGCAGGATTTGGATTATGAAGTGGAACCTGAACCACCATTTAAGAAACTATGTTAATTATGAAAACTTAAGCCAAGGCTGTAAGTTAAATACAGACTCACAGGAAAAGTATTAAGTGAGAAATCAATGTGGCATGTGGAACAAAAATGCCTGAAGAAACTTTAGGGGGCGACGTCACGTTCGTTATCTTGGTGGTGGGAATAGTTTCACGTGTGTGTAAAACCTTATCAAATTGCACATTTCAAATATGTGGTTTATTTCATCAGTTATACCTCAATAAAGCTGTTTAAAAAAGGTCCCACAACCTGGCCAGCATAGCTCAGGGGTTGAGCATCAACCTCTGACCCAAGAGATTCTAGGGCACAATGCAGGCTTCGCGCTGGGTCCCCAGTCGGGGGCGTGCAGGAGGCAGCGGATCAATAACGACTCTCTCATCACTGATATTTCTCTCTCTCTCCTTCTCCCGTCCTCTCTCTGAAGTCAATAAAGACATATTTAAAAAAACAGAGTCCCACCATTTTAATCAAACCAAATGACCTCAAAAGGTCACTTAAGGATATCTTCAATGGACTGCGTGATCCAAATGCTGGGGGAGCCCACGCCCCATGCCTTTCTACTTCAATTCCCAGCCTCGGTGCCTCTGACCACTTGAGAATGAGAAGGAAACAAGTGGAGACCGAGGCCCAGGAGGCGGCGGGACATACCGACCTCGGGAGGCCCATTTCCGCTCAAAGCTCCCGCTCCACTCCCGGCCTTCTACTCAGCTCACTGGGCATCACTCAGACAGGGCTCCGGTAATCGGTCCAGATCCCAGGCACAGCCACGCAAACCGGCCGAGTGGGCGGTGCTGCCTCCGCTGGAGGACAGTCAGAGGATGTTCCGTGGAGCCCAAGTCAACGGTGAAGCCACAGCCCCGGCTACAAGCTCCCCCGGGCGCTGGGAGGGCCGAGGGGACGCGGCCGTGCACCACCCAGGCGCGCCCCTGGGGGCCGGGCCCTTCCCGGCCGCGCCCCTCACCTGTCCTCCATGGAGTCCTCCCTCCTGTAGGGCGAGTTCCTGATGGTGATCTCCATGCGGTGGTCCCTCAGCTCCCCCTCCTCAAGGGAATCCCGCTTGGAATCCCGGTCATCAGACTAAGGAGCAAGGAGAAAGGCGTTTCCCTCACGGTAAGCGCACGTGCAACGACGGGCCAACCTGCCGGCATCCCAAACCCAGCTTCCAGGTGCCCTTTGCACGGACTCTGACTTAAAAACGTTCCTAAAAATGCTTATACTTAAAGTACAAAAAAACAAACCCCAAAAAACCACAAAACACACACACACAAAAACCACACCGAACTTCCATTCAAATCCAGCGACGTTACAATTACGAAACTCTCTGCGGCCCAGAACCCGAGACGGGCATTTAAAACCCACGCCCACGGGGGCATCGGCCTGCACGCCAAGGACGCTCGCGGTCCGGCGGCCACGGCGGAGCCTCCGCGCGCATTTCACGGGGACGCGCCGGCGTCTCCCG